AAAAAAAAATAATTCACTAGCCATGTAACCTGTGAAAAGTCACTTAAATTTTTTTTATCATGATATTTCTCAAAAGTAGAATGGAAATAAGAGCAATTATCTTGCAATTAATGAAAGCATAGGTGAGGATTAAATGAGGCAATACGAACTAAAATACATCAAGTTCACACCTGTTCACAAACATGACCACTCCTCCCTTAGCTCAGTAAATGGTAACTCAATTACTTAAGCCTCCACTTTCAAGTTGGCTTTCACTTCTCATTTTCTCTCACACCCCATATTGATCTACCAGTGAAAACTTTTGGCTTGCTTCCCACCATTTTTCCAGATGTGTTGCCCTTTACCATGACTTCCTCCCCAGTCACCAAGTCTTTTTTTTTTTTTATACTGGGGATTGAAACAAGGGCCTGTGCATGCCAGGAAAGCACTCTTCCAACTGAGCTGTATCCCTATCCCTCCCAGTCAGCAAGTCTTGCCTGGCTGACCAGTAGTCTTCTCACTGATCACTCTGACCCTGGCCCCTCACAGCCTCTTCTTCTTCCCTTGAGAAGAGTGACTGCTTTATTACCTAATCAGATCCTGGTGTTCCTTGGTCAGCACTCTCTGATGGCCCCATGTCACTTAGTGTCCAAGACTGCTTTATCCCCTAGCCTGCTAGGTGGTGCCTCATTGACACTGGTCCTCTCACTCTGCTCCTGATTCCTTTCAAGCAAACAACTTTCATGTATGGGCCATGTCCTCTGCCTGGCACACCTTCCCCAATCAATAAGCTGTAGTCTCTGTAAGCCTCTGTCAAATATCACCTTTCCAGATGATGGCTATGCTAACAAGCAGGAAGACCATCCCCCAATCCCGCCATTACTCTGTCTTCTGACAGTGCTGAGTTTCTTTGCAGGAAATATAAGTTTTATTTAGGGGAAGGGTGAGGGGGTATGACTGCCCCTTAAAATGTCACTTCCATGACAGCATGCTAAGTATGTGAATGAATTTACTCCTTCATGACAGGCAGGCAATGCTCTTGGTACTGTGCAGATAGCCCTGCACAAAACCAACTTCTCTTGCTCTTCCAGTCAGACTTTATAATAGTTAAGTGAAAACAACCTCATTTATTTATGGTAGTCAAGGAATCTGGTTGCTCTCCAGAATTTAAATGATACCCAACAGGATGCAGAGAAACTGAAATATTAATCACAAGATAATGGAACCCATCTTTTAATTAGTGCCTATGAAATCAGGGCACTAATCCTCAGCCTTACCAGTGCCTTGTAAAAATCAGCTTGAAAACCTGTTATGGTGCTGACCTCACTGATTCTCAGCAAAATGAGACAGGCTCTGAGGAGCAAGACAAAAACAAAAAGCTCTCCTGCCAATTTTCTTACCATTCAATTTTTCTTTTTCTTATATCTTGCTTAGTATCATTATAACCAGAACTTAGTTTCAGTTAACTGTTATAAAATATGGATAAGGATTTCAGGCAAGGGGACATGGTGAAAAGAACTCAAATTGGGATTCAAGAGACATGACTTCTAAGCTAAACACTGCCACTAGTGAATTAGAGTGAACTTGTTTAAATACTTGAAAATATCCCTTTTTTCTTAGCTTTGAATGAAAGATGAGACTCCCCAGCATTCTTCCTGCTTCATTCACCATGGGTTTGCATATCATTGATTGGTATTAGACACTACAAAAACAAAAAAGGTCTGGAAGAAAGGACTATGCATAAAATATTTAAAAATTGAAATGATGAATCAAGCCGGAATAAGCAATATCCTCCGCCTGCATCTTTTTTCTTCAACACTGTCAGAAACTCTGATACCTAATTGGCAATTACTGTGGAACAGATGCCCAATAAACAGGGCACTTCCTTAGGGTGAGCTTCCCCTTCCATCCAGATGAAATTCTGGAGCAGGGGAAAGACTTGGATTATTAGTGTTTGGGTAGTGACCCCATAGCTTCTAACCTTGAATAAGAAATAAACAATTCAATTTCATACAACTCAGTCAAACTGTACAAGGAATTTCTATTTAACTGCACCAGGAGTTTCTATTTAAATAACTGGAAAATTATTTAAAGTAAGTAGTGGGACTACTGGTGTAGTCCCTTGGTGCTTAATTAGCATTTTTCCCAGCATTTGCACAGGTTTATGAGTATTAGAGATATCTGTGACTTTTTCCCTTCTCCTAAGCAGATGGACTAGCGACCTATCTTATTTGTCATCCATTGTAACATTTTATTTGGTTTGTCATAATATCTCCATGAATACTAATTTCAGGGAGTTTTGATAAGGTGTTAATTTTTTTTCCTTTAATTTCAAGCCGGGAAGGAAGTTTCAATAACCAAGTAAAAAAATTTAAACTCCAATTAAGGGCCTATCTCTTAACACTAAATAACTTAATAGTTGTAGTAGAAATGGAAACAGAGCTTTTGTTCTGACCTTAGACCAGCAAAGTACTAAATCTCTGCCCTTGAACCAGTCCACATTGAAGCAGTGTTGGGAACCCTGAGAGCACTGCTCTAGGTACCCCACCCTGCGTGATGGCCATTCAGTTGGCCTGGAGTGTGGCATAAGCTTTGGAACTTCTGAAAGATCTCCAGGATATTCCAATATGTGAATGAGTTTGAGAAACAGTAAAAATTTCTGTGAGATTGAATGAGGGCAAATGTTCTTTATTATCTTGTGTTTACATATGTCACATTGTATCTAGAAAAGAATGTAAAGTGACACTGTAAAGATGATAGAGTAGGAAAAGGATGGCAATGGTTGAATGAATTTTTAAATGAAGTCGGTATAAATTTCTTTATCAAGGTAGGTTGTTGACTTCATCCTAAATTTGAACATCTCAATACAAATGCAGATGGTTACTTTTAATGTGTCATTAGAAAATGCCTTTCTAGAGTCAATCTAAATTAATCTTTTAAAAATATTGATAATTCGTGGGAAGATGTTTAGTGAGTTTCTTTTTGTTCATCCATTTGCTGAGAGTTTACCTATTTTTTTTTCTCTTTGCCCCCCTCCTCTTTGGAAATTCCTCTCTCCAGTAAGGGCTACACTGACGTTGTGCGGATCCCTGAAGGGGCAACCCACATAAAAGTCCGACAATTCAAAGCCAAAGACCAGACTAGATTCACTGCCTACTTAGCCCTGAAGAAGAAAAATGGCGAGTACCTAATCAATGGAAAGTACATGATCTCCACTTCCGAGACAATCATCGACATCAATGGAACAGTCATGAACTACAGTGGTTGGAGCCAGAGGGATGATTTCTTGCATGGTATGGGCTACTCGGCCACAAAGGAGATCCTAATAGTGCAGATTCTTGCAACAGACCCAACAAAAGCTTTAGACGTCCGCTATAGTTTTTTTGTTCCCAAGAAGTCTACTCAAAAAGTGAACTCTGTCACTAGCCACGGCAGCAATAAAGTGGGATCACACCTTCCACAGCTGCAGTGGGTGACAGGCCCCTGGCTTGCCTGCTCTAGGACCTGTGACACGGGCTGGCACACCAGGACGGTGCAGTGCCAGGATGGAAACCGGAAGTTAGCCAAGGGATGTCTTCTCTCTCAGAGGCCTTCTGCATTTAAGCAATGTCTGCTGAAGAAATGTTAGCCTGTGGTATGCTCTTAGGCACAAAGACGACTGTAGGATCCATCACTGTGGTGAACATGAGGTCTACCCCAACGCACAGAAAGTCATGCTTCAATGTCATTGTCACCAGGAGTTGAATTATGGGCAGAATCTGCTCTCTGTGACCAAAAGAAGATATGCACTGCTTCATGTGACAATGGTAACCTTGGAATATAGGAAAATTTTTTTAGTTATTGAACATCCCCTGGACCTACAAGAATGGAAAATACACTGATGAATGTAGAATCAGGGGACGTTTGAAGATGGCAGAACAGTCTCCCCCGTGTCACCTACCTCTTACAGAATGTCTTCAAAGACATCGTAATCATTTTCACCCATGATGCACAGTAGCTTATTTTTACTGTTTGTAAATACCTTCTTCCTTGGTATGTCACTTTATATCACTTGGTTCTATTAATATATATATACATATATAAATATATATATATATATATTTCTATAAAATAGTGTTTGACCAAAGTAGGTCTGCAGCTATTTCAACTCTTTCCAGTTTCCAGAAAGAGCTGTGGATGTTTTACTGGAAATTAAGAACTTGCTGCTGTTTTAACAAGATTTAGTATGTTTTCTGAACACAGGAGATGAAACATATTCAAAAAACATTTTAACAGCAAGCATCTCTTGAGCAATTCTGAAAAGGAAAAGGATCTCATTGTATCTAGTCATTTAAATACACACATGGGTCCATTTACTTAAATCATTGAATGCCTGTATTTTTTTCAGGCAGCCAGCCAAATTTAATATATGATTAGGATGTAGAAGTAGTGTGTGTGTGTGTGTGTGTGTGTGTGTGTGTGTGTGTGTGTGTATGTGGTCAGCATTCAGGAGTATAAAAATGAGTTTTCCTCGTGTTGGAATTTAAAGGATAAAAACACATGTCATCCAGTTTTCAATTTAGATTTTCACAACTTCTTTCTCTTTCTACGGCTCTCATTTGATATATCACAATGTGTAATGTACATGCAGAAACCACAACCCACACCCTCAACACTGGTATACCTCTTACCAGCAAGCCTTTAAAATGTGTTTGTTTTTGCTTGTTTGTTTGTTTTATTGATGGGTTCCAAAACACCTGCCATGTTTTGTACTTCTTGTCAACCTGGTTTAATAGGAATATTAAAAATCACTTGGAAATTAGTCATATCTAGAAGAGATCATTATCACTAATGTGGTCAATGCAAAAAAAATAGTGTTTAACATGAATAAGGCTGTTTCCACACCATAGGCAATAATTTCTTAATATTTTAATATATTTCTACTTTACTAAAGATTTTTCCCAACTGGAAAGTATTTGGTTGTATCAGTAAGTGTTTGAGTGACAAAAATATCATGATTTCCAGGAAGTTTGTTACTTTTATTCCATAGCCTGTGTAGGTAGGTTATAAGTTTGAACAGATAGACATTGAAAATATTTTACAATCATGCATATAAAAGTCTTTTTTAAATAAATACTGTAAACTGCATTCTCCCATTTCATAACTCAGAAAATCAAAGGTATTTATTTCACTGGTATTTCTTTCTTCTTTGTGAGTTATCACAAAGTTAATTAATTGTTTTCTATAAAATTTTATAATAATCGCACCAAATGTGCCTATTGTTAAAAGATTTGCATATAAGAATTTTAGGGAATTGTTGTTGGAGTTTCATTAAACTTTTGAGAGTTTATTTTTATTATAATATTTTATAACATAAAAGAATTACCCAGTTGTTCTGGCTTTATCATATCTGTTTCAGTGCATCAGGAATATGGATGTCTCATTCTTTGAAGTATTGTCTTTGGAAATTCCTTTTGTAAAACAGATAATGTTTTACAAAACAAATGCCTATTCAGATTTTCACAGACTGAGATTGCTTTAGAAATAGTAGTTTTATCTTAAGAAATTATCATTTTAAAAAAATGGAGTCTAATAAGACTGATAACATACATTTGATGGTGAACACCAAATACAAGGACAGGGACAAAAGCCAGTCAAATAGGTAAGAAAAAAATTTAAAATCTCATTAATTCAAAGATACTTTATAGTTTTAATATTTTTCCTAATTTAGAAAATAATTTTAATCAACTAACTCAAATATCACAAGATTCATTTTTATATTTTGTGATTCTACTTCCAACAACATTAAAAAAACAATTAAAGAGTACACAAGGCTGTCTCCTACTCTTCTTTACTGTATTCATAGATTTTTAATAGGATTTATCCATGATTCATTCTTCCCCCAAATAATGAAGTTTTACACTTCTCTTTGAAAAAATCTTAATAGGGTTAAAACAAATAAACCACTATTACATTTTTATAAGGAGCTTCTTTATCTTTTTTTTTTTTAAAAAAAAATAAGTTTTAATAGATTGACTGAGGAATGTATGTCTAAACTCCTGAGAAACATGATACAGACTGGAACCTGAAATTCAGAGGTGGAGTGTTCAGACTAATGAACAAAGGAAAAAGTACTTTCCAACTCCATCTAATTCAGTCCAGTTTGATATTGTACTGTCTTACCTTTCCATTGTTGCATCTTGAATTTTTTTTAAAAAGTATAGGATTCAGGATGTTAAAAAAAGAAGAAAATGTATAGTTTTTTTGAAAAATGCTCAGGTTTATAAGAATCTAATCTCACTTATATCACTAAATGCTTCAGCATAAGTTTCATTAGGTACAAAGGGAGCCCAGAAGAAAATAACATGTATTTGTTATAGATCATAAAAGATCTAATTAACCCCTGACTTTTTGTTTTGAAGTATAATAACATTGGTATAATTTATTTGACAAATTCAACTCCCTTTGCCTTCCTGTGGAAACAGTTTTATCCCATAAAGTAAGAATTAAGGGATGAATCACAAATTACAAAAAAAAAAAAAGTTGCAGCACTGAAAAATAAGTAATTTATTGTTTTTGCAACTGGTATGTGAATTTGTGTGATAAAATTATTTATTCTTATTTAACAAAAGTATGTGCAAATTCTTCTATATTTAAAATGTTTTGCTGTTGTCCTGCTTTTTAATTTATGCTTCTTGTTTGTGTATAAAGTACACTTTGTGAGTTTACATGATATACAGCACTGGTTGCTTTTGTATTTTTTTTTTTACAGAAAGCTTTCTGCATGAAATAGACTCATGTGTATGTGTATATATTCTTTCTACACCCTTACTTTGACACTATCACTTTTCATTGTAAGGAAAATTTTAATCTTTCATGACTAGAGGTGTTCATTACCTGTAGCTTTGTTCATAAGTCTTTCATATCCCATAACACTCTTTTTTCCAAGTCACAGACATGAAAAATGCTTACTCAATCAAATAAGGTGCAAGTTCCAAACTCGAATACATACATAGCTGGGAGCTTCCCATAGAAACTATGACAACAAGAAGACAGACTCGTTCACATCACTGATGAACATGGACGAGAAGTTATTGGTGCATGATCTGAAAGTTGCGCATGCACATCTCTGAGAGACATGAAAAAATGATAATGAAACCAGAAATCACCTTTTGATGATTTATATTTTTGGTGTTAGAGATACTTCCCAAAATCAATATGAGTTAATATCCAGTATCTGTAGGATTCCATACATGAGCACAAATTGGATTTGTGTGGTTTAGATGCTGGTAGTCCTGTTTCTTCAAATGGGGCTATCCTTTGACTGAATGTGTGTGACATTTTGTGACTACCATTCAGTCACAGAGCATGGTGATTGTACCTGGGATAGGCAGACACCATTGCTAAGACCAGCTTGTCCCTGACTGTGACTTCAGTCCGATCCCAGGAATGAGGCAAAACACCCTTCCACTCACTGACCATTTCCAAGGTCAATCTCTGGTTCTGATGCTTCCCTGCAAACTCATTCCTTGCAAATAAGGTCTCTGTAACAGTGTAGGTGAGGGCATCAGCTAGATTCAGAAGTCTATGACTTAGAGGTCACTATTGTAAAATAAGATTGAATTTAATAATAACTGGATTTTACTAGGAGTCAGGTTGAATGTGAAATCTCATTGCATGATGGGTAACAGTACTGATTCCTTTATAACTAAACTTGAGATCATACAAATACCCTACATTTTTAACATTTCAAAGCACAAAATAAATGAAATAACCCTGAGGACAGAAGTGGACATCTAAAGCTATAACAGAACCAAATTCAAGGTGCTCTATCACTTAGGTACTCCAAAAAGGAACTTGTATGTTTTCTCTATTATTTGTTTTTTCATTTGTCAGAAACATATAGATTTGGATCAATTTATAAAACTAAAATTGTTCCTAATAGCCCTCTGTTAGCATGAATTATAGAAAGAACATATTGAATTATATCACCATGAAACACATACTTTCTATTCAATTAAATATAGGAACATATTGAAACATGAAACCACGCACTAGTCAACCAAAAAAATGGGAATACAGATGGTGTTTGGATCAGCAAAGAATTTAATCAAGCAAATGTCTGGTGCCATGGTATGATTTTAGTGCAGGTTTTGTGGGGAAAATAAAGGAATATGTTGTTAAATGTTGTTGGTTTTGTAAGAGAGTAAGACTTTAGCATACACAATAGTTGTCTCAGTTAATTGCACCTTACCAATATACTAGCACTTTAGCAATAGTTTTGCTGTCTCTAATCCTTATTCTGTGGCTCCATTAACTACTTGTGAGCTGTGTAGGTCAAATGAAAAGATAAATAAAAATCCATGTTCTAAGGCACTGCCACATCAGCAACCCATGGTACAACACTGTGAGGAAAAACTCATTTATAAATAGAACAGGGAATTGTGTTTTTTTTTTTTAAATTTTTCTTTGGCACATGGAATGAAGAATTTTAACTCTTTTTGAGGTGCTAACATTTTCCCTAATCAGCTATCAAACGTGCTATATCGTTTTGAAAAATTTTGATTGGTGCATTATAATTATACACAGTGTAATTCATTGTTACATATACTTATATTCACACCACAGAATCTGGTCAGTTTCATTCCCTACAACCCTCTTTGTGCCTCTCTTCATCAACCACCCTGTTCCTCTTCTTCTATTCTCCTGGTTTCCTTTCTATTTCTAAGTTATTATTCTTTCTAACATGAGTCTATAATTTCCAAGAAAGGCCTCCAAGCTTTTTTGTCAAGTTTGAGCATCATTTAATACTGAACACTCAATAAATAAGCACATTCAATGGTCATTTTTTGACCAACCATGGTCAATAGCATAGACCCTCTGTACCTCTGAGGATGTTTAGATTCAAAACTTGAAGAATGTCAGGCCAGATTCATGAGTAGATGAATCATGTTTTACACATTCCATACAAATTTCCATGTATGTTTGGCCTAACATTTTTGAAACTTCTCAATATTTTATGACCACACTAAATATTTAATGACCATATCTTAGCCTTTTAACAACTCAAATCTACTAGAAGCATTGCTACCTAAACTGATGGTATGTTTAAAATAGAAGTTTATACTCTGTGTAACTGTGTAAGGCTAAACTTTTGATTAAGAAATATTGAAATAGTATGTGCATTATGCACTCAGGCATGGCATTATTGGTGCATCTCACTACAATTAGCAGTTGACAAACTCTGCTTACATTTTATCAATGATTTATCAGTCAGTGAAAATCATGCACATGCTTTGTGAATAGAAACTGCAGATAACTAAGTAGATTGCATAAATATGTTACATTTGATGTAAGCAGTGGCACAGATTTTTTATTTCTGAATTAGTGTCTGTGAGTAAATTCAAGTAGTAAATCTACGTAGGTTTCATTTTGAAACATACCTTCATGGTAGACAATAATAATGAAGATTTACATAACTAAATAGTAAATATAAAATGTAAGCTCTTATTATCCTCAGTATTCCAGAAGGGATGGTGTATAATGCAATCAAAAGACCAAAAATTGTGGAAAACTAAGACCATCATGTTTTAAATGTCTCTTGAGCTTTGGTAAACTACAAATTGGAATCAATACTCTAAGCATTACTGTGTCTTGTAGCCTACATTCCATAATTGCTCTGTTATTCAGGTAAACCGCTTGAACTGAGCCTCCAGGGACTTATTCTGTAATATTTTTCATTGAGGAACAATATCCTACTTTGTAAAATACTTCCCTGTGTGTGACTTAACAACTGTAAAATTAAGCATTGGTCTTGTGGTTTCAGTGGACATAATAAATACAAATTGTAAACTAGGTTAAAGTATGTACTGAATGTTTTGGAGGTGAAAACTATTGTCCATATATTTTTAATTTTCCCATAACCTTGGTAGCACATAGACAAGTCTCGAGGAAGTCCTAGGTGACCTGTAATTCTATCATCTTTCAATCACTTTGTCATAGACAGTATTTTTTCTTAGTTAAATTACTATAGAACTATTGCTTCAAGCTCTTCTTACCAGACTATCACTCTTTAAAGTCTTCTTAGTATTAAGATTAAACAGCAAACAAATTTGGCTTCATTTTAATTTTTTTGTACATAAACTTATTCCAGAAAGAGTTGAGATATGAATACAAGCATAGAATATTTTTTTAGTTTGAAATTCATTAGAAAACTCTATAATTGCTAACAAATTTATAACATTAAGTTACCTAAGGATATTAATTTCTTTTAAATCCTGAAATCATTATGCTTTAGTGTATGTTGCAAACACTGAATTTCCCTCTCATCTCAAACTGTAGTTTAGAATAATGATACTTTAAATTTTACCCATAGTAGGACATATATGTTTCAAAGAAATCATTAAAAATTCCTATACTTTTAAAAAGTTGATATATAAACTTGGTCATCACAATATGACTAATATTTGTTAAGCATCTCATTGGGTCATACACTGTAGTAAACATCTCACAAACCATCTCTGTGGTCTTGTGAGGCTGGTCTTAAGATTTAAGTATTACAGATGACTGTCATGATATGATGACCATCAGTAGTTATCTAGCATTCACCCAAGTGCCAGGCATAATTGAGAGTATCTTAAATATTTATTATCAATCACTAACAGCTTTAATCACCGAGAATCTTAAATCCTTATGGACGGTGTGTCTGAGGGAGGGATTACTGAGTGAATGGAGAACTGTGAGGGATTGGGGAAGTGCAGAAGTATGTACTGAATGTACTGTTTAAAGGCCCAAATGTGGACCCCAATAGTAAATCAAGAGCAGTCTTAAAATTCCAATAAAAATTGCAAGAAAATGACAGAGGATAAGGCAAGCAGTATGGATAAAATCAGAAGCCAAAGTGGAACAAAAGATTATTGTTGAAGGAGAAAGGAGAGAGAATTTGACTTGGAAAACTAGTAAATTACTGGAAAGTGTAAAGTGATATAAATTGGTGTGAGGGGTAGCTTTTAAATTAAAGAATGAACAAAGAAATGGTTAAAAATGAAACTGGAGATGTTTGTGAAGTCCAAATTTTTCTTAATGCTTTTAATTCTGTTGTGTCTTTCTAGATATATCATTGAGTGTTTTCTCAGCTCAATCAAACTCATGTTTATACAACAGAACCAGTGATCATAGTCTGTCCTCTGTATCCACAGATTCTCCATCCTTAGATTTTGACATCTGTGAAGGGTCCTGGAACCAATTGACTCTGCATGTTTTTATATAGACACAAGTGAGGAGTTATGGTAGAAAGTTCTAGCTTTCTTAGTTCCATCCATGTCTATCACATGAGTAAACATGGACTCCAGGATGACTGGCTATCTGGGGTGGTTCCAGGGATGGAGAAAAGCAAGCCAACTCAGGACCTCACTTAATGCCTATCTCGGAAATGACCCTTAAGAAGATGTCTTTTCTAGATACCAAAAGTGTCTCCCTGTTTCCTCCCAACTCATGATTTGTCTTCAACTGGAATCACAGACCTTCTGTTGCTGCTGTTATTATTTATGACTAAAAGCATCTAAATCTTGGAAAGCTAAAAAGTGTATCTCTTAATAATTTTTAAGGAGATTCATTCTAAAAACAGTAACTGAACTCACTTTAGGTTAAAAAGAGTTGTTTCATCTATAAAAGTGTCTAGAGTCATTAACCTTTTCATCTTCCAAACATGTCTGGTACCTAATAGACATTGTGAAGAATTTGCCTGGATCGCTTCTTCAGCTCAAGTTTCTTTACTATCCCTCTGCCTGAATTTCCCTCTCATCTCAAACTGTAGTTTAGAATAATGATACTTTAAATTTTACCCATAGTAGGACATATATGTTTCAAAGAAATCATTAAAAATTCCTATACTTTTAAAAAGTTGATATATAAACTTGGTTATCACAATATGGCAATATCACAAGATGTTTTCTATTGCCCCTTAGATCTCCCTAGAATGTTTTTAGGCAGTTTCCAGGAAACACAGAATTGGACAAGATCAGGCATAAGATACAAAAGACACAGAGCTTTTGTAGGGAGAACCCCATAGAAGTTTCTGAAGGCATGACCAGCTCTGAGTTGATCAGAGAGGACATTCATCTATGAGAACAAGCAACAGATGCTCCTTCCTTCAAGGTTATGCTAAAACCAACCAGATATTGGCTTCTCCACTGCTATCCCAAAGTCATGCTACCAATACTTTCTACCCTGAACAACTGCAAATACCTCCTGGTGGGACTTCCTGCTTCCATCAACAGCAAGACTGGTCATGACAGTCTGTAAATCAGATCATTTAACTCCTCTGCTAAAAACACTCCAGGACCTTTCTGCTTTTCTCAATATAAAGAATAAGGTCCTCTCCAGGATCTGAAGAGCTCCACAGAATTCAGTCCCAGTTACCTCTCTGATGGTCCCTCCTGTTTCCTAACCCTTGCTTCACTGCTCCAGCTGCTTTGCCTCCCTGTTATTCTTCACTGCATTAAAGATGAGCCATATCTAGAAACCTATGCCTAGAACACTCTTCTCCAGATATGTACTAGCTCCATCCCATTCCATTAAGCCTCTGCTTAAATGCAATCTCTCAGCTCCAACTACGAATAGATACATTCCTCCATTTTCCTCATAGAATTTATCATCACTTGAAACTTCATTATATATCCATTTATACAAATTTATCAACACTGTAATGTACTCAGATCTACACATCAACACTGTAATATACTCAGATCTACAAGTATACGTATTTTGAGCACTTAATCTTTATTTTTCACTACAATATCACCAGCTCCCAGGAATGCAATGGGCACGTAAGTGCTTAAGAAGTATTTTTGAATACATGAGTGAGTGAGTGAGTGAATTGATGGCACTCTAAGCAGGTAGTGTTAAAGGCTTCAAGGAATAGTCAATGCTCTCTCAACAGGTAGGCAAATGTGATAATGGAAATATTTTTAACAGGCAACACTGTTTTTAAAAAGTTTTAGAAAAAACATCAAGTCAGGACTAGGCTAAGGAATCAAGGGATTCAGAATAGTTGCAAACACTCAGCTATTTGACTCCAGGTTGGGTCTTCTGTTCCAGTTTTGATGCTTTGCTAGAAAGCAGACTTCTACAGATATCCACAATTTCCATCCCTTTTTTATTAAATCAAACACTAACCTAAGTATTGCTGTGAAAGTATTGTGCCACGTAATTGTTACTACTTAACAACTGGAAGATTATCTCAAGTTAACTGGTAAGGCCCAATGTGGTCTCAAAAAGTCTAAAAAGCAAAAGAGAAAAGAAAAAGGGGGAGTCAGAGAATTCCAAGCCTGAGCAGGATTCCATGGTTCCATTGCTGATTTAGAAGATGGAGTAAAGGAGTCACACATTAAGGAATCCAGGTGCATCTAGAAGCTGAGCACCACTGTGAACCACATCCAGCAGGAAACAGGGACCTGAGTTTCACAACTGCAAGAAACTGGGTGTGTACTCCAAAATTCATGTATGACAGACTCAATACCCGGTGCAACAGTGTTGAGAGGTGATACATTTAAGAGGGGATTAGGTCGTGAGGGCTCTGACCTCATGCATGGATCAATGCCATTGCTCTGGGAGGACATTAGTTATCTCTAGATTGGTTCCTTATAAAAATATGACTTCAACCCCCGTGGTTCTCCCTCACCATCGAATCTTCTGCCATGTTATCATGCAGCAAGAAAGCCCTCATCAGATGCTAACTTCTCAACCTTGGACTTCCAAATCTTCCAGAATTGTGAGAAATTAATTTCTTTTCTTTATACATATCCTATTCTGTAGTATTCTAATATAGCAGCAGAAAACTAACTAAGCCAAACATGGAATCAGATTCATGTTTGGAGGGATCAGAAGAACACAGCCTTACAAATATCTTAACACCAGCCTTGTAAAACCCAGAGCAGAGACTTGGCTAAGACACTCTGAGCCTCCAGAACCCTGAGATAATGAAGGAGTGCTGTCAACAGCTGCTGAATGCTTGACTTTGGTTTCGGTACTAATAGAAAGTGATCACACAGATAAAAACAGGCAAAGATCACAAGTTAGAGTGGAACAAAAGGAAGGCTGCCACATTAGAAACCTGAGCAGATATTGGGGCTAAACTACAAGGGAGGAGCATAAGAAAAACAAAGTATCGCAGCTACTAGATTTGGCACAAAAACTTGGAGTAAGACCACCCGCCATCCAAAGTAATGTTTGTATAGAGTCACTTGTGGGGATCCGTATATATGTTCTGACTCAAAGACAGGTTTATCTAAAATCTTGGTGTGGAACAAGACTTTGTAGCCACAATGGGGATAAGCAAAAATGTTGCTGAAAGGTTGGTCACATAATTTAAAAGTTAATGGAGATTTTTGTTCGTAAAGTGCTGTTAACCACCCATCCCCAAATTTAATGATTTCATGAGTCAGAGCTCAGCCTAGTGATACCACTGCTGCACACATCACATGGCTGTAGTGTCCAAGCCAGGCTCACCCACACACCTGGTGTTGATGCAGGGACAGCCAGGAGGTCAGTCCCAGCTGGGTCCCTCTGTCTTCATGTAATCTTTCCAAGTAGGGTCCTCTCCATCAGGGTTCTCAATCTTCTTACACAGCATGTTGTATTTCCAAGAGCAGATGTTTCTAGAGAATCAAGAGTAATCTACCAGGCTTTTTCTATCCCATCCTTTCAAGTTCCATCTCTTAATCACACTAAGTAAAAATTTTCCATTATGTGAATCAACAACTTTCAAAGATCCTTCCTTGATTCTTCCAGAAGTTGAAAAATTATAAAATATGCCACCCTTTGTTCTTTGGTTACCAACTTCTTCATTTTTCTTT